GAGCTTTTAAGTGTTGAAGAGCAAAGATGTCAGCTTGAGGACTAAGGTGCTCCTGACCCAAGCCATGGTATTTTCAATAACCTCATATGCATGTGAAAGCTGGACATGGAACAAGGAAGACCTTAGAAGAATTGATGCTTTTGAGTTATGGTGTTGGAGGAGGATATTGAAAATGTCATGGGCTGCCAAAAGAACCAACAGATCTGTGTTGGAAGAAGTGCAGCCAGAGTGCTCCTTGGAGGCCAGGATGGCAAACTTCATCTCTCATACTTCAGACATATTGTCAAGAGGGACCAGTCACTGGAGAAGGATATCATGTTTGGTAAGGTGGAGGGTCAGAGAAAAAGAGGAAGATGGACTGGCAAAGTGGCAGTATCAATGGACTGGCAAAGTGGCAGTATCAATGGGCTCAAGCGTGGCAGCAGTTGTGAGGTTGGCCCAGGATTGGGCAGTGTTTTGTTCTTCTATGCTTAAGGTCGCTATGAGTCAGTATCGACTCAATGGCACCTAACAACAACAACAAAATCAGGTTTTCAAGGAACCAAGTAATTTACTTGGTCTATTAAATCATTCCATAAAACTGTTTGAACAGGGAGCATTTCTTATGTCTTTACTATGTAAAGGACTGGGAATACAAAGTGGTAAGCTGGTAAAGGTTGAACAGTCAGTTCAATAGTTGTTGTTAGGTGCCCTAGAGTCAGTTCCGACTCATAATGACCCTGTGAGTCAATGCACAACAGAACAAAATGCTACCCAATCCTTCACTATACTCACAATTGGTATTATGTTTGAGCCCATTGCTGCTGTCACTGTGTCCATCCAATTGTTTTGGGGGTGGGGGGTGTCTTATTGGTTTTTTTGCTGATCCTCCACTTTACCAAACATGATGTCCTTCTACATGCCTGATCCCTTCTGACAACATATCCAAAGAACAAATGGCAAAGTCTTGACATCCTGGCTTCTGAGGAACATTGTGGCTATAATTCTTCCAAGACAGATAAGTTTGTTCTTCAGGCAACCCAGGGGACTTTCAGTTCTCTTCCTTAACAGGATAATTCAAATGCATAGATTATTCTCCAGTCTTTATTATTTATTATCCAACTTTTAATATTGTATTTGAGATGATAGAAAATACCATGGTTGTGTCAGTATTACCTTAGTCCTAAAACTGACATCTGTGCTCTTGAACATTTTAAAGATTTTTTTTGTTACAGATTTGCCTAATGTAATACATCTTTGGATTTCTTGACTGCTGCTTCCATGAGTGTGGATTGTGGATCCAAACAAAATGAAGTATTTGACAACTTCAAACTTTTCTCTGTTTATCATGATGTTAATTATTGGTCAAATTGTAGGATTTTTGTTTTGTTTGCCTTGAAGTGCAATCCATACTGATGCTTATAATCTTTGACCTAAATCAGTATTTCCAGTCCTCTTTACTTCTAGCAAGCAAGGTTGTGTCATCTGTATATCACAGATTGCTAACAACTCTTACTGGAGTAAAATGCCACGTGGTGGTGTGGTGGTATGCCATGGAGTCAGTTCTGACTCATAGAAACCCTATATAGGGTTTCTGAGGCTATAAATCTTTATGGGAGCAGAAGGTATCATCTTTCTACCACGGAACAGCTGGTAGTTTTGAACTGCCGACCTTGAGGTTAACAACCCAACTTGTAACCACTACACTACCAGAGCATGCTCTTCTTCATATAACTCAGTTTCTCAGATTATTTGCTTAGCATGCAGACTGAATGAGTATGGTGAAAGGCTACTACCCTGATACACACATTTCCTGACTTTAAACCATTCAGGGTCCCCTTTTTTTGTTGTACTGACTGCCTCTTGGTCTATGTCTATATACAGATCTATGTCTATGTACAGGTTACTTATGAGCACAACTAAGTGTTCTGGAATACCCATTCTTCCTAATTTTATTCATATTTGTTATGATCCATACAGTTGCATGACTTTACATAATCAATAAAGCACTATTAAGCATCTTTCTGGTATTCTCTACTTTTAGCCAAGATCCATCAGCAACGATACCCCTGGATCTACTTCCTCTTCTCAATCCAGTTTGAATTTCTGGCAGCTCCATATAGATGTATAGCAGTTCCCTGTAGATGTATGGCTATAGCCATTTGTTAGTTACCTCCAGGAAAATTCTACTGGCATGTGATATATTAATGATATTGTTGAATGATTTGCATATCCCAGTGGATCACCTTTCTTTGGTATGGGTACAAATATGGATCTCTTCCTATCGGTTGGCTAGGTAGCATCCAAAATTCTTGCCATAGATGAGTGAACACCTCCAGCATTGTATCAGTTTGTTGAGAATTTTGTATTTGTAGTCTGGTTATTCCTGGAACCTTGTTTTTGTCGGTGCTTTCAGTATAGATATTTTTCTTTCATTATCATTGGCTCTTGATCACATGCTACCTCTTGAAATGGTTGAGAATCTCCTAATTCTTTTTGGTTGAGTGCTCTATGTATTGCTTCAATTTTTATTGATACTTTATGCATCATTCAATATTTTTTCTATGTTTTGGTGTTAAGTGCTGTTGAGTCAATTCCGACCCATATTGACCCTGTAGAGGGTTTCCAAGGAGCAGCTGGTGAGCTTGAGCCACCGACCTTGCAGTTCAAAAGATTTTGCAGTCGGACACATTAGTCCACAGCACCACACCAGGACTCCTATTTTGTCTACAGAATCCTTCAAAATTTTTAGTCGGGGCTTGATTTTTTTTTTCTTCAGTTCTTTCTATTTGAGTTCTTCTCTTTTGGTTTTCTAACTCCAGGTCTCCTAACGTTTCATTATAATACTTTGTCTTCTCAAACTGCCCTTTGAAATATTCTATTCAGTTCTTTTACTTCCCTATTACTTCCAATTACTTTTGTTTCTCGATACTCAAGAGCAAGTTTCAGAGTCTCTTCTGACATTCATTTTGATCTTTTCTTTCTTTAATGTCTTTTTGATGACCTTTTGCTTTCTGCTTGTGTGATGTTTTGATGTCTTTCCACAACTCTTCTGGTTTTCAGTCATTAATGTTTAATGCAGCCAATCTGCTCTTGAGGTGGTCTCTAAATTCAGGTGCCATATATTCAAGGTCATATTTTGCCTCTTGCGGACTTATTTTCATTTTCTTCACCTTCAACCTGAACTTTCATATGAGCAATTGATGATCTATTCTACAGTTCCTGGCCTTGTTTTGGCTGATAATATTGAGTGTCTTTTCTTTTCCCACAGATGTAGTCAATTTGATTCTTGTGTATTCCATTTGGTGAGGTCCTTGTGTAACTCACTTTTTATGTTGTTGAGAAAAGGTATTTCCAATGAAGAAGTCACTGGTCTTGCAATTATATCATGTGATCACCACCATCATTTCCACCACCAATGCTATATTTTCTAATTATTGATCCTTTTGTTTCCAACTTTTACATTCCAATCACCAGTAATTATCAGTGCCTCTTGATTGCATGTTTTATCAGTTTCAGACTGAAGAAACTGGTAAAATTCTTCAGTTTCATCATCACTAGCTTTAGTGATTGATGTGTAAACTTGAGTAAGAGTGGTATTAACTGATCTTCCTTATAGGTGTATGGATATTATTTTATCACAGAGAGTATTGCACTTCAAGACAGATATTGAAATTTTCTTTTTGATGATGAACGTGGCACCATTCTTCAACTTGGCATTTCTGGTATAGTAAACTATATGATTATCTGATTCAAATTGGCCAATACTATTCCATTTCAGCTCACTAATGCCTAGAATATTGATCTTTATTAAATCCATTTCATTTTTGACTACTTCCAATTTTTCTAGATTCTTATTTCAGATATTCCACATTCTGATTATTAATAGATGTCTGTAGCTCCTTTTTTTTTTCATTTTTAGTTGTACCTCACCAGCAAATGAAGGTCCCCAAAACTCTGCTTCATTCACATCATTATGGTTAACTACTTTGAGAAGGCAGCTCTTCCTCAGTCGTATCTTAAGTGTCTTCCAATCTAAGGGGCTCATCTTTTGGCACAATATCAGACAATGTTCCACTGCTATTCAGAAGATTTTCAGTGGGTAACCCTTTAGAAACTGTCTACATCTCCTTCTTCTTAGTCTGTCTTAAAAATCTGAAAGCTCTGCTGAACCCTGTCCACCGTGAGAAACCCTGCTGGTATTTAAAATACCAGTGGCATAGTTTCCAGCATCAGAGCAACACACAAGTCAACACAGATGACAAACTGACAGATGAGTGGTCTAGGAAGGGGAACCCTTATTTATAGGATGAACTAATTTTCATGGTATGAATACTACTACAGAAGATTTTAATCTATGAATGATTTGACAACTGACTAAAAAATGTCCCCAAACCTCACAGATCATTTCTCATAAACCAGCACTAGCCAGCTCCAACACATCATGCGTGATTCTCACCCTTAAGTAGCTCACAATCTCTCCATGGGTTCCATATTTAGAACACAGAAAAGAATTTTGAAGAAAGATAAAAGTCAAATAGTTTGACATTATTATTTGTTAGTAGATTTCAAAGTTCACAGGAACACTAAAGTCTGTTGTACAGTCATATCTCTCCTGTTAACTGCATCTCTTTTTCTCTTGCAATTTATTTGAGACAATTAAAATGCAGTATACTTTCAGAGAAGCAAAGGATGAGTGGAACATGAGAAAAGAAGAACACAGTTCTAAGAAATACACTCACAATTATGTTAACACTGCAGGAAATACCCATTAAGGTAAGTACAATATTATGTAACTGCTAAATTTACCGTTTTATTTAAGTTCGTTCAGTTAAATTCACAAGCCTGGAGATTTTCCCTATCCTCTTTGGCTACAAGTTTGAAGACAGTAGCATGCTTCCTTTGCACAGCTCTGAAGAGCATGTTACTTCATACCCCTAATACTATCTGCTCATAAGAAAAGAAGGCATCAGATTCTGGAGTCTGAAACTCAACTTCTTTAGCACAGTCGCCCCCTAGGGTCAGATCTTGGAAAACTGCCTGCTGGAGTTACCAGGGAATTCTTCTGGTAGCAAAACATGGAGTCGACAGGTTGGGCATGTCCCCTGTTGTATCAACCATGGTCTAATGCACTGAGGAAGCAAAAAGATCAATGTTAGTCTCTCAGATTTAGCCTATAAGAAGTAGCTGTTACTCAGGAATATCAATTGATATGACTTCTGATGATGGATCTTAAAGCTTTATCTGGTAGATCACCAGGATAAATACTACAATCATGGCTTCTTCTTTAGGATTTGCTGAACAAAATAGCTGATAACAGCAGATTACCTTCTTTTAGCCATTATATTTAATTAGCACCTTGAAGCCCCCATTGTTGCTTTTTGGAATAATCTCAAAGGTTTGGAAAATGAATAGCAGTTCTTTCTGACAAGATCATGGAAACTTGCTATATTCATATAATCTCTCTGGTTTGTTTTATTGTATATTCTTCTCATCTCAGAATCCGGAGAAAGTCATAACTAAACTTGCAAAACTCACAAATGTTTGGTATCATGAACATATGGTGTTTTGAAGTTAAAATTCCTAGATGATGGATATGCGTCTCAGATTGATCTTTCTGGGGTAACAATGGTAGTATACCTTGGCTATGAACTATCTAAATCATGTACTTGAATACTGGCTCTTCACAAACAAATAATTCTTACCTGCCTGAATATAGGGAGATGAGGGTGGGGATTAGGAATAGGCAGTATATATGAGCCTTTTCAACTTTAACTCTGTATAGTAAACAGAATAAAAATACTTGATGTCTATTTAATGGGCAATGCCAAAAAAATAAAGTAGGTTTTGCTTAAAAACTACAAATGGGAATGTCTTGTGGTTAAGTATCTTTCCTAGAGATCTTTTGGGATTGGTCATTCTGTGCATATCTTTTGGTATCAAAACCAGGTATCAAATAGCTTTGAAACAATGTTTTACATCTCTGGTTTTGAAAGAGCTGCTATTGTTAATTTCCCTGAGAAATCGTTCTTGTGTATGTGTAAGATTATCTTTCCCTGTGTTAAATTACATCTCTGCAACAGAGGACTTGGACCATAAATTGTATAGCAATAGCATTTGCACAGCATCAACCATGAATTAATCTATATAAATGCCAAGAATCAACTAAAGATATGCCAGCATTACATTTTTCTAACAACAAATGCCTGAGTATCTTCAAATATAAATACAGAAACCTGTACAGATTGCTAAAATAAACCTTAGGCTTTTTAATGATGGTGATGGTGGTGGTTGTGCTCTGTCGAGTCAGTTCTAACTCATAGCAACAGGTTTTCTGAGACTGTAAATCTTTATGACAGCAGAAAGCCTCATCTGTCTCCCACAGAGTGGCTGGTGGATTCAAACTGCTGACCCTGTGGTAAGTAGTCCAATTCATAACGACTGCACTACCAGGGCTCCTTTTTATAATGACGTTAAGTGCCATCAAGTCCATTCTGTTTCACACTGACTCTGTATAGGGTTACCAAGGAGCAGTTGGTGGGTTTGAACCACTAACCTCATGATTAGTCGTCCAGTGCTGATCCTACAATGCCACACCAGGCCTTCTTTATAATGCCGTTAAGTGCCATCAAGTAGGTTCTGACTCATAGTGACCCTGTATATGGTTTCTGAGGAGTGGCTGGTGAGTCTGAACTGCCAACCTTGCGATTCAAGTGGACCTTGCAGTCCAGAGCTTATCTTATAGCACCACACCAGAACTACGTTATAATGACTGATGTTGTTGTTAAGTATCATTGAGTCAGTTCCAACTCAGAGCGTCCCTGTATAGGGTTTCTGAGAAGCAGGTAGTAGGTTTGAACTGTTGACTTTGTCAGTTCAAGTCCAATGCTGACCCTATAGCACCACACTAAGAATCCTTTATGATGATTATTGTTGTTAAGTGCCCTTTAGTCTGTTCCATCTCATAGCGACCCTGTATAGGGTTTCGTAAGAGTGGCTAGTGAGTTTGAACTACCAACTTTGCAGTTCAAACTGACCTCATGGTCCAGTGCATTACCCTGCAGTGTCACACCAGGAGGCCATTATTAGGTGTGGACATAATTTTCTTGAAAAAGGACAGTATGTAACATTTCTAGCACATCAAAGTGAAATGACACTGTTGCTAGTTCTGCCACTCAAATGCCATGACAATCAACATTCCGCCTAATCTAGTCAATGAAACTGCCTACTCTCTGCTATTGAAATCTTAAAATTGGCCACTTGTCTTATAAGGTGTCTAAAGAGCAGAGAAGGCATGGTCCAATCCATGACTAGGTATGAAGGAACAAGTTCTTCTGTGGTATTCATAAATCCATAGTTACACTCAATAATGAGAATTTATTACATAGCAATGGATGATGCTGCAAACTATGACTGAAGTATGGTGCTTAGATAGCCAATAATAAATTATGATCACAGGCTTAAGGGTTACCTGAGCATGGAATTTGTGAGCACAGGGCAAAACAGAGAGGTTTTCTGGAGAGAGATCCTCATGACAGATCACACAAGGCTCTGCTTCCTCATCCTCCTCGTCATCCTGGGGAAAACACAAATGAGGTTAAGTGTAGTTCCCTTCTTTTCTCCACACCAAAAGATGTTCTGAATCAAAAGTCCCATTCTCACCAAATTATTGGCTCCTTCCCATGTTGCAGAACCTTGTGAGCTGAGTGGTCTCCAGGATGGTTTGGGGGACTGGGCAGCATTAGGCTGTGATGAAACAAAATTCCCATTTGGTATTGATTTACTTTGACTCTGGTAATAACAATACTGTACTTATTTATTTTTTATAATTGTCCTAAAATGTTAAGAACTGAAGGAATAGCTCTGAATGGGGCATAATAAAAATTAGGAAATGGTAAGGGTCATTCTGATTAATGAGAAACCTGGAAACAAAATATTGGCAATTATTACTCATACAGGCAGAGCCAGATAATGACAAAAATAATTCTATTTGATTTTTTAATGAAAGTCTTTTCATAAAATTAGCACATACAAAAAAATCCCCTTTCATAATCCTTCAGAGTAACCTAGAGTACATTTCAAGAGAGCCAGTTTTATTTTGAGAGTCCTGGTTATGGCACTCTAGAATAAACACTGGATTGCTAACCACAAGTCAGTGGTTCAATCCATTAACCATCCCTTGGAAACCCTAAGAGTTGGAACCAACTCAACTGCACTAAACAACAACAGTTTTATTTTAGAAACATCAGCTGGTAGGTATTTTAAAAAGTCTTCTTTTATCATTTGTCAAGTTGAAGTTGTTGAATTGTTTATTCTTCATAGATTAGAAGTTCCTGACTGTCTAACATGTCATGTTGTTGTGCCATCAAGTCATACACTGGTAAGTGTTTAACAACCAGTTCTGTAAGTGAAATAGTTGTTGTTAGATGCCCTTGAGTTGGTTCCGACTCGTAGCGACTCTGTGCACAACAGAATGAAACACTGTTTGGTCCTGCAGCATCCTCCCAATTGTTGTTATGTTTGAGTCCATTGTTGCTGCCACTGTGTCAACCTATCCCACTGAGGTTCATCCTAGAGCCATACTTTGTGTATGCCACATGCCAATTATTCATGGATGCTCGCAACTGTTTCTTCTCATTTCTCATTTTGAAGATCTGAAAGCTTTGTTCCATGCAAGTTATTAAAGTCAACTTTACTTTGAGGAGGCAGCTTTTCTCTGGTTGTATTTTGAGTGCCTTACAACCTGAGGGGCTCATCTTTCAGTATTGTATCAGACAATGTTCAGCCGCTATTCATAAAGTTTATAGTCCTGGTGTGGCGCTGTGGGCTAATGCACTGGAGTGCAAAGTCACTGAACCACAAGCTCAGTGGTTCAAGCTCACCAGCCGCTCCTTGGAAACCCTATACAGGGTAGTTATGAGTCAGACATTCAGAAGTGGTCAACCTATCCTTCCTAGTCTGTTTTTAACAGTCTGAAAGTTCTACCGAAACCAGTTTACCATGGATGACTCGGCTGGTACTTATAATACCAGTGGCATAGCTTACAGCATCACAACAACCTACAAGTCACCACAGTACAACAAACTGACAGATGAGTGGTAGAGATAGTTAATGCGCTAGACTGCAAAGTCGGTTTGAACTAGCCACTCCTCAGAAACCTTACACAGGGTTGCTATAAGTCAGAACTGACTCGACAGCACTTAACAACAACAATAATAATGGAGATGATTGGAATCTTGAACTGCTAATCACAATGTTAGTTCTTCAAAACCACCAGCCGCTCCTTGGAAACACTATGGTGGTGGTGGTTGTATGCCATGGAGTCGGTTCTGATTCAAAGTGACCCCATATAGGGTTTCTGAGGCTGTAAATCTTCACAGGAGTAGAAAGTCTCATCTTTCTCCTGTGAAGCAGCTGGTAGATTTAAATAGCTGACCTTGTGGCTATAAGCCAAACCTGTAACTCACTACATTGCCAGGGCTTCTTGCAAAACCCTATACAGGGTCACTATGAGTCAGCACTGATTACAGAGTACACAATAACAAACCACGGGGACAATTAAAACAACTAAGTCCTGGATATAAGGCTTCATTACCTGTGATCTTTTAGGGTCAATGAGTTGGGACATCTTGCAAACAATTTCATCAAATGTCATTGCAGAAAAGGATTTCCCATTGGTATCCTTCAATTTTTGTAAGAAATCGGTGAGTTCCTTTCTGAAAAAGATAAAGGAAGAAGTAGTGGTAATTTTTCCTTTTGCTTTAAGGATGTGCCCACTATACAAGATATAAAATCATATCACTGATTGACACATAGCATTGTAATAGTAAGATATGGGGTCAACTTGGCTTGACCAGGATTCTCAGTGGTTTAGTAGTTAAGATGTAAGAACCTCCCACCATGAGCTCTAATATAATGTAAGCAACCTCATGAGATGATCAGCTCTGATCTGATGTAATTGTCCTACATGTTTCAAATATTCACTTCTAGCATGCTAATGATGTCAGATGCATTCTATAGGATTAGGCTGTATATTGAGTCAGTCTCTTATGAGACATGAAAGGAGAGAAAAGTAAGCTGAGCTCAGAGGGTCCCACTATACCCAAGAAAGAAGAACCAGGAGTGGAATGCTTCCTTTGGACCTGGGGTCTCTGCACTATGAAGCTCCTGGATCCAGGGAATGGTTGATGTCAAGACACATGGAGATCTTCAACGAATGCTGTGCCTACAGATGTTGAAAGAAGCAAGGACATTTTCCCAAAGACAGTACTCTGAACTCATACTCTAGCCTCTAAAACTGGGAGAGAATATATTTCTGTTTTTGAAAGCCAGCCACTTACGGTATTTCTGTTGCAGTAGTACTAGATAACTAAGGTAACCATGTGGAGGTAGTGCTTTAGATCACAGTTCTAAGATAATAATCACAGTTCTGATTTCTTTTTAACCAAAATGAAAGCTTGTTCTTGTTGTTGTTGTAGTTAGGTGCCATCGAGTTGGTACCGACTCATAGTGACCCTATGCACAACAGAATGAAACACTGCCTAGTTCTGGTCCAACCTCGCAATTGTTACCATGCTTGAGCCCTTGATGCTGCCACTTTGCCAATTCATCTCGCTGGGAGTCATCCCTCTTTTTATCTGACCCTCCACCTTACCAAACATGATATCCTTCTCAAGTAACTGGTTCCTTCTCACAATATGTCCAAAGTGTGAGAGAACAAAGTTTGGCCATCTTGGCCTCCAAGGAGCACTCTGGCTGAACTTGTTCCAACACAGATCTGTTGGTTTTGTTGGCAGCCCATGGCACTTTCAATAATCTCCTCCAACGCCATAACTCAAAGGCATCAATTCTTCTATGGTCTTCCTTTCTCACTATGCAGCTTTTGCATGCATATGAGGTTATTGAAAATACCATAGCTTGGGTCAGGCGCACCTTAGTCCTCAAGCTGACACCTTTGCTCTTCAATACTTTAAAAAGGTCTTGTGCAGCAGATTTGCTTAATTCAATAAATATGTCATTTGATTTCTTGACTGCTGCTTCGGTGAGTGTTGATGGTTGGTCCAAGAAGAATGAAGTCCTTGACAACTTCAATCTTTTCTCTGTTAATAAGAACATTGTGTATTGGTCCAGTGGTGAGGATTTTTGTTTTCTTCAGAAAGACTGTAGTCTTTGATCTTCATCAATAAGTATTTTAAGCAAGTTTGTATCATCTGCATATCTTCCTTCAATCCTGATGCCACGTTTTTCTTCATATAACCCAGCTTCTCAGCATACAGGTTGAACAAGTACGGTGAAAGAATACAACACTGTTACACACCTTTCCTAATTTTAAACCATTTAGTGTTCTCATGTTCTGTTCGAACAACTACCTCTTGATCCAGGTACAGATTCCTCATGAGCACAATTAAGTGTTCCAGAATACTCATACTTCACAATGTTTTCCATAGCTTGTCAAGATCCACACAATTGAAAGGCTTTGCGTAGTCAATAAAGGACAGGTAAACATCTTTCTCTGCTTTCAGCCAAGATCCACTGGACATCAACATTGATATCCCTCATTCCACATCCTCTTCTGAACACGGCTTGAATCTCTGGAAGTTCTCTGTCAGTGTCTGCTTTCAGCCATTTCTGTATTGCCTTAAGTAAGACTTTACTCGCATGGGATATCAAAGATATTGTCCAATGATTTCCACATTCCGTTGAGTCACCTCTCTTTGGAATGGGCACAAATATGAATCTCTTCCAATCAGTTGGTCTGATAGTTGTCTTCAAAATTTCGTGACATAGATTAGTGAGTGCCTCCAGTACCACCAATACCTGGTGCCTTGTTCTTTGCTAGTTCCTTCATTGCACCTTGGATTTCTTCCTTCAGTATCACTGGCTCTTGATCATATGCTACCTCCTGAAATGGTTGAACATCAACCATTTCCGTTTGGTACATGACTCTGTGTATTCCATTCCTTCCATCTTCTTTTGATGCCTTCTGCATCGTTTAATGATTTGCCCAGAAAGTCCTTCAATAATGAAAGTCAAGGCTTGAATTTTTTCTTCAGTTCTCCCAGCTTGAAAAATGCTGAGTGTGTTCTTCCTTTTTAGTTTTCTGACTCCGGATCTTTGCACATTTCATTGTTTTATTTGACTTTGTCTTCTCGAGCTGACCTTTGAAACTTTCTGTTCAGCTCTTATACCTCCTCATTTCTTTCATTTGCTTTAGCATCTCTATGCTGGAGAACAACTTTCAGTGTCTCTTCTGATATCCATTTTGATCTTTTCCTTCTTTCTTGTCTTCTTAATGACTTTTTGCTTTCTTCCTATATGGTGTTCTTGATGTCATAACACAACTTTTCTGGTGTTCGGTCTTTAGTGTTTAATGTATGAAATCTGTTCTTCAGATGATCTCTAAATTCAGGTGGGGTATATACAAGGTCAGATTTTGGCTCTTATGGACTTGTTTTCATATTTTTCAGCTTCAGTCTGAATTTGCATATGAGCAATTGATGGTGCCTGTTCCACAATTGGCCCCTGGCCTTGTTTTGACTGATGGTATGGAGCTTTTCCACCATTCTTTCCACAACTGTAGTTAATTTGATTTCTATGTATTCCATCTGGTGAGGTCCATGTGTATAATAGTCTCTTATGCTGTCTAAAAAGAGCTCTGGTAGCATAGCGGTTACGAATTGGGCTGGTAACCTTAGGGTCAGCAGTTCAAAACTAGCAGCTGTTCCATGGGAGAAAGATGAGGCTTTCTGCTTCCATAAAGATTTACAGCCTCAGAAACCCTGTACAGGGTCACTATGAGTCAGAACCGACTCCATGGGACACAACCCCACCACCATGCTGTCTAAATAAGGTATTTTAAATGAACAAATAATTGGTTTTGCAGAATTCTATCATGTGAGCTCCAGCATCATTTCTATCACCAAGGCCATATTTTCCAACTACTGATCCTTTCTCTTTGTTTCCAACCTTTGAATTCCAAATCACCAGTGATGATCAATACATCTTGATTGCATCTTTGACCAATTTCATACTGAAGAAGTTGGTAGAATTCTTCTGTTTCATCCTCACTGGCTTTAGTGGTTGGTGCATAAATTTGTATAATAAAAAATTTTAAAAAACTGGTCTTCCTGTAGGCGCATAGATGTTATCCTATCACAGACAGCTTTGTACTTCATGACTGATCTGGATATGTTCTTTTTGACAATGAATGCAACACCATTCCTCTTCAATTTGTCATTCCTGGCATAGTAAACCATGTGGTTGTCAGATTCAAAATGGCCAATACCAGTCCATTTCAGCTCAGTAATACCTAAGATATCAATGTTTATGTGTTTCATACATTTTTGACAATTTCCAATTTTCCTAGATTCACACTTCATACATTTCATTTTCTGATTATTAATGGATATTTACAGCTGTTTTTCTTCATTTTGAGTTGTGCCCCATCAGCAAATGAAAATCATACGGGCTTCACTCCCACAGGCTTTACTCCATTCTCATCATCCCGGTCAACTCTACTTTGAGGAAGCAAATCTTCCCCAGTCGCATTTTGAGTGCCTTCCAACCTGAGGGGATCATTTTCCGACACAATATCTGACTGTGTTTCTCTGTTATTCAGAAGGTTTTCAGTGACTAAATATTCTGAAGTAGTTCATCTCTCCTTCTTCCTAATCTGTCTTTGTGTGGAAGCTCATCTGAAACCTGTCCACCTGGGTGACCCTATTGGTATTTTAAATGCCATTGGCATAGCTTTCAGAATTACAGCAACTCACAAACCACCAAAGTACAACAAACTGACAGATGAGTGGTGGAAATCAAAACTTATGAGTTCCAAATTAATACTAATGTAATGTGCTCATGAGTGATTAAGTTTAGTATGTGTTTTCTTTCTAAAAGGAAACCTGACTTTGATTTGAAAGCTCACTGTGTGAAAATTGAGTTTGTTTACCTACTTGCTCATACTGAGTTCTTTATATCATACCTCTTTTACTGGGGACTAAAAAAATCCTTTTTAACTATGTTTCTCTTTTTTTTTAATCTGGGTTACTTCTTCTACTTTTGCAAAGCTCAAAAACAGGAAAAAAAAGATCAAAAGGAACAGAAAAAGCAAGGATTAAAATACATATTAATTATCAGATAAACAAGCTAAGGATCGTTTTAATGAAAATGTTCCTTTTCAATTTGAAATGTCTTCTGACCCAAAGTGTTTATCTACTTTGATAGCACAGTTAGATTAAAATTTATTTTCCTATATGAAGTGTCATGTGATTTACTATTTATTCATTTTGTAAATATTGATTTATAACTTTACAGTTCTATTTTAATTTTCTATTTACTGTTATAGTATTTATAATACCATAATTTAATCCTAAAGGATGAAAGCATACTCAACTAGAAACCCTACACAGGGTCGATATGAGTTGGAACCAATTACATGGCACTTAACAACAGCAACAGCAGCTGTTACTTAATCCTAGTAAACATGAGAATTATTTCCTTGAAGACCAGAGAACAGAGATAAAGAATCTTCATTTTTCTATGAATAGAATTAAATATCCTTTTATCAGAACTGTGAAAGACACAGTGAAATCATGATTTCTTGCCTTTAGCTGTGTTCCCTAACAAAGAAACTATAAGGAGCCTCAATAACATTATGGAAATAGAAAACTAAAACCTGATGCATGCAATCAACTGAAGAGTCACTTTGGAAATAGGCTATTAACTGTTGCAGCTGATGGCATTAAAATTGATAGGTTTACTATTGGTTGTACTTTTGGTAGATGAGCAAACCTAAATTAAGAAAAGTTATTTTCTCATGATTTAGAACTAATATGTATATTAATAAAGAGGATTAGCATTTCTATCATACTATCTCTTCTTACTAAGATTTTATTTTCATTACCAAGGTCATGATAAAGAAATGCCTTTAATATTTTGGATGTTAAATTTCTTTGAAATATTTCATTGTCATAATTATAACTCAGGAATCTGTGCACACCACTAAATAAATGAAATAATAAGGTACCTGGACTGTTGTGGAAAGGCAGTTTTCAGTCTGTCCATAATCCTCTCCCAGTTCAGCATGGGAGGGTTACTTCCCAGACCTGCATTGGGAGACACAGCCTCTCCAACAGAGGCTGGCACAGTCCAAGCTATACCAGTCATCTGTAAGGAGAGCAGAGTTGTTATCAATAGGAAAAAATACAACCCATCAGCTTCCAACATTAAGATGCCAACATGACACGTCCATACCTCAGAGGAACTGAAAGTAGGTAGAATAAAGAATGAAGGAGAGCAACAGTTATATGTATGCTCCCTAAAGAGAGGTTTTTAAATGTAGCACAACAATGTTTCTAATTGAATTATGTCCTCCCAAAATATGTTATAAATCCTAACCTCTATGCCTGTGGTTATAATCCCATTTGGGAATGGGCTGTCTTTAATGTGTTAATGGGGTAGGATTACTGTAGGGTGTATCTTGAATCAATATCTTTTGAGTTATAAAAGAGACTAGACAAATTAGCAGAGAAAAGATCATGTAAGAGAGATACCAAGGCATAGGAAAGTTCCAAGGAATGAAGAAGCAGAAGCTAAAGAGACAAGGACCTTTGTGCAAAGCTGATAAAGAGAAAGCTTTCTCCCAGAAGCCAGAGCTCTGAATTCAGACTTCTAGCCTCCTAACCTATAGAAAAAATGCATTTCTGTTTGTTAAAGTCATCCATTTGTGATATTTGTATTATAGCAGTATTGGATAACTAGGGCAAAACTCAGTACCGGAAGAGTAGGGTGCTGCTCTAACAGATTGCTGAAATGTGGAAACAGTTTTGGGTAGGTAATGGGTAGAAGCTGGAAGAGTTCTAAGATGCCTAATAGTAAAAGTCTGCATTGCCTTGAGGAGACTGTTGGTAGAACTACAGATTTCAATTCTAGTGAGGGTGTATAGGCTACTTATAAAGTCTCTCATCACCTTAAAGAACACATATGGCACTAGCAACAGAATGTTGCTGTAAATGCGGACATTCAATGTGCTTCTAGTGAAGCTTTGAAAGCAAATGACTGCTCACTTCGGCAGTGCATACACTAAAACTGAAACAATACAGAGATTAGAATGGCATGTGCAAAGACAACATATAAATTTATAATGCATTTCATATTTTAAAAAAGAAAATGATGAACATGTGACTGGACAATGAAGTAAGGGTGATGGTGATGCTTTTTAATACAGTAGCAAAGTTTTTGTTTGAATTATGTTTAAATGTTTTGTGGAAGGTAGAACTTGTAAGTGAATACCTTAGATATGTGGCTAACGAGATTTCTTAGCATGATCTGAAAGGGGACATATGCCTTCCAATTTCTCCAGTTTGTAATGGAAATGTTCACCTTGTGCCTGTTCTACTGTTGTACTGTGGGAACAGATCCCTTGTACTCTAGATTTCACAGGTTCACAAAAGAATAAAAATTTTGCACCAGAAAGGAATGTACCTAAAGTCTCACCTATGTTTGATTTTGATGATTCAGAAGATGAGATTCTGGATGAGGAGTTAAGATTTCAAGGACGATGTGGTGGGGTGAATGTGTTATGCATACAGTAAAGATACGAATTGGGGGGAGGAGAGCAAAAAATGGAATGTTATGGATTAAATTGTAAAATATGTGTTGAATATCTTAATCTCTATTCCTATGTTTAAAATACCTTTGGGAATTGGTTGTCTTTGCTTTGTTAATGAGACCAGATTAGTATAGGGTGTATCTTGAGCCAATTTATTTTGAGATATAAAAGAAACCAAGCAAGCGAGCAGAGCAGAGATGGGTTAACACAATCAAAATGCATCTATCTATAAGGAACCAAGAAGCAGAAGATGAAGAGACAAGGACCTTCCTACAGAGCCAACAGAGAGAGAAAGCTTTCCCTTAGAGCCAGTACTTTGCATTCCAACATCTAGCCTCCTAAACAGAATTAAAAAAAA